TTAACAATCTCAGAAAATTAGAATATGAAATGAAATCAGCAAAACAAGCAATATTGGACCTCTGAGAAGTAGAAGCATGCATATGTACTCAGTACTTGGTTTGGGCCCCTTTTGTATCAATTACAGCCTCAATGTGGCGTGGCATGGATGCTATCAGCCTGTGGCACTGCTGAGGTCTTATGGAAGACCAGGATGCTTCAATAGCAGCCTTCAGCTCTTCTGCATTGCTCAGTCTCATGTCTCACATCTTTCTCTTGGCAAGGTCAGGCGAATTTGCTGGCCAATCAATCACAGTAATCCCATGGGCATTGAACCAGGTTTTGGTACTTTGGGCAGTGTGGGCAGATGCCAAAGTCCTGCTGGAAAATGAAGTCAGCATCCCCATAAAGCTCGTCTGCGGAAGGAAGCATGAAGTGCTCCAAAATCTCCTGGTAGACGGCTGCGTTGACCCTGGACTTAATGAAGCACAGTGGACCAACACCAGCTGACGACATGGCTCCCCAAATCAACCCAGACTGTGGAAACTTCACACTGGACTTCAAGCATCTGGCATTGTGTTGCCTCCCCATTCTTCCTCCAGACTCTGCGTCCTTGGTTTCCAAATGCGATGCAAAAGCTGCTCTCATCAGAAAAGAGATTTGCCAAGAGACAGATGAGAGACATGAGACCGAGCAATGCAGAAGAGTTTTTCCACGATATTCTAATTTGCCGAGTTTCACCTGTATGGCCGAATGCTGACATCTGAAAATAGTCCCGTGTTTAAAAGGTGATGGCCTGAATGTTCTCCCCTGCTGAGATAGCGGCAATACTGAAAACAGACCTGGCCGTCCTAGTGTAGTTGCGGCTTCCATTGTTGTTTAGCCTAGTCCTTCCTTTTCCTTGTCAAACAAAATGATTTCTCCCTCTCTCCCTGCATGAGAGCTTTGAACCTTTGCCACACCACAGAGCTCCCTTCACAAATTTGAGACGGAGCGATGGTTGGCCATAGTGGCCAGGTCCAAAGAGGTTTTTTTAAGAAGCGGTTGGATAAAGACTCTCCTCCCTGCAAGAGAGGGGAGTGGTTGTGGCCGGGACCCGGACTCCGCCTCAAGCAGGGGGCGTTTGCCCCCTGCCTCCCACTCACCTGGCTGGCGCCCACGCCCTCGGCCAGGCACCCAACCAGGTGCCTTCAAGGGGGGGGCGTGTACAGCAGCCTAAATTGCTGCGGCGCCAGCCTCCAGCCCTCACTTTTCGTTGTCCCGTCGCGAGTCACCCACCCTCCACTCCCTTAGAGCAGGGTTCCAGTTTTCTTTTGGCCTTGCTATGGACCTTAGGCTGGTCGCCCTGGTTGTCCGGGGGGCCTGGTAGGAGTTTTTCCATTTGGCATTAGGCTTTTTGGTTTTTTCGCCTACCTCGTAGCAATCGTCACAACTTTCGTGGTATTGGTGGGTAGGTTAGGCATTGGAATAATGTGTTGTGGTGTGTCGAAGGGCTAGGTGTGGCCATCGCCTATGCCTTCAATTTTTGGGTATTCCGTTAAAGGAATCTGGTGGTTGTGTATTCTGTCCGATGCCTGCTTGGCGGGAGGCCATGGCACGACCCTCGGTGACATCAGGGGAGAGCCTATAGTTGGATTAGCATCAACAGGCTCCACCTACTGGTGAATAAACCCCCCTTGTTTCAGACTCACCCCTCTCTGAGGGGGTGGAGTCAGCTGACGTAATCCAATGCCTAAGCCAATACCTTTTCACTTGCTGTAATCAATAAAGTTGTGGCCTTTTCTTGCCCATTAACCTTATATCACGTGTCCTTGTGTTTCATTCCACTGCACGGGGTACGGGTCCTTGAACCACAATCGCCTCTTGAAGAGGGCCTGGGAAGACTCCCTCACAGAGGGAAGCATTCACCACCCTGCAGAGCCCATTGCCCAACCCTACCTGGCTCACTTTTATGAGCCAGGATGGGCAAGGAGACAGGTTTCGCTTGTCCAAGCAGCCTGTCCACATCTTCGGATGAATTTTTGCTCTTCACAAAAAACACCTCAAGGCCAAAGGACCAAACCATGTGAGATACCACAAATCCATGGCTGTCTCTTCCACAAATAAAAAATTACACTGAGCTGCATTGCGACTGCGGGGGGCAGTTTAACCCTTTCACCCCATTCCATTTTTCCAGTGAAGGTTGCTGCCAAAACAGCTAATATTTGCCTTGTTAAGGACTGTGCATTCAGAATGGTACACAAACACTTTCTCTAAAAATAGCAGCCGGGGGGGGGGATTGTGTGGCAGCAAGCTCTTCCCCCAATGTTCTGTTCCTGATCCAAATCGTTCCTGCTCTGCAGTTGCTAAATCTGAAAGAGATGGGAATTTCAGTCTGTGCCCCGTGAGCCTCTGTTAATTCCCTGTCTTAGCATCTCTTGCAGAAGTGGCTACTTATTACACGGAAAATGCCTTGATAACTGTTGGGAAAGCAGCTTTGTGATTCCTTTATTTTATTTTTTCATTTAAAAAAAAAAGATATTTATTAAAGTTTTAGACAATAAAACAAACTTCACATTCACAACCAAAAAGAAAAAACACCATCACAATCAATCAAAAAAGCCAAAAAAGAAAAAGAGTACAATAAAAAAACCCATACAAAATAGAAGAAAAAAAAATAAAAAAACCAATTTCTTAGATATTATTTTCATAACCCTCCTTCCAGACTCCCTCACATCTCCCTTTTCTGTGTTCCCTTTTACAGAATCTTATTCAGCAATACTTCACCTTCTTTCAAATCTTATTTTGTATTATACATTTCAACTATTATGTCTCCAATTCTTCCCTTTATTATCAATTATTTGAGTTTGACATAACATTATTCTAACTTCACCTTTGTTCTTATGAACCAGTTTTTGCATACTCCTTTCAGTGATTCCTTTAAACAAGGTACAGTGGTACCTTGGGTTAAGTACTTAATTCATTCCGGAGGTCCGTTCTTAACCTGGAACTGTTCTTAACCTGAAGCACCACTTTAGCTAATGGGGCCTCCCGCTGCCGCCGTGCCGCCGGAGCCCGATTTCTGTTCTTATCCTGAAGCAAAGTTATTAACCTGAAGACTATTTCTGGGTTAGTGGAGTGTGTAACCTGAAGCGTATGTAACCCGAGGTACCATTGTATTTGTCTTTTTCCTCCCATGTAAGACCACTGAGGAGGCAGATTGGTGTATGGGATGCAGCCAAGGCTTATGCAATATGGGTTATTTATACAGTGGTACCTCTGGTTACCTCTGGTTATGGTGCTGGAGGAGACTCTTGAGAGTCCCATGGACTGCAAGAAGACCAGACTTATCGATTCTTAAGGAAATCAGCCCTGAGTGCTCACTGGAAGGACAGATCCTGAAGCTGAGGCTCCAATACTTTGGCCACCTCATGAGAAGAGAAGACTCCCTGGAAAAGACCCTGATGCTGGGGAAAGATTGGAGGGCACAAGGAGAAGGGGACGACAGAGGACGAGATGGTTGGACAGTGTTCTCGAAGCTACCAGCATGAGTTTGACCAAACTGCGAGAGGCAGTGGAAGACAGGAGTGCCTGGCGTGCTCTGGTCCATGGGGTCACGAAGAGTCGGACACGACTAAATGACTAAACAATAACAACAACCACCTCTGGTTATGAACTTAATTCGTTCTGGAGGTTCGTTCTTAAGCTGAAACCATTCTTATCCTAATGGGGCCTCTGGTGCGCGATTTCTGTTCGCAACCTGGGGCAAAGTTTGCAACCAGGAGCAGCTAATTCCGGGTTAGCAGAGCTCATAACCTGAAGCATTTGTAACCAGAGCGTTCATAACCAGAGGTACCACTGTATTGAAATTATCCTCTCTGAACACTTTTAGTATTGGTTATATAAAGATCAGCATGGAAACAGCACCACCTGCAGGAAGGAAGGCAGCATATGCAATTCTAGAAATTGTACACCTGGTTTGGCTCCTCTGTGACTCAGTTTGTTGCTAGACAAGGGCAGCAGTTAAGGCTGGGATTTTGGAAGGCTGAGAGGGAGCATTTGGAACAGCGCCAGGTCTTTCTGTTTGAAACCTAAGATGAATGTAAAGGCCTGATCCCTCCACCCCACCCTAGCTAAGAATTCTCAAAGCTTATAAAAAAATTGTCCAGTAGCACCTTAGAGAGGAGGGACATGGGTGGCGCTGTGGGTTAAACCACAGAGCCTAGGACTTGCCGATCAGAAGGTCGGTGGTTCAAATCCCCACGACGGGGTGAGCTCCCATTGCTCGGTCCCTGCTCCTGCCAACCTAGCAGTTCAAAAGCACCTCAAAGTGCAAGTAGATAAATAGGTACCGCTCCGGCGGGAAAGGTAAACGGCATTTCCATGCGCTGCTCTGGTTCTCCAGAAGTGGCTTAGTCCTGCTGGCCACATGACCTGGAAAGCCGTACGCCGGCTCCCTCGGCCAATAAAGCGAGATGAGCGCCACAACCCCAGAGTTGGCCACGACTGGACCTAATGGTCAGGGCTCCCTTTACCTTTACCTTTAGCACCTTAGAGACCACTTAAGTTTGTTCTTGGTATAAGCTTTCATGTGCATGCATTTATACCAAGAACAAACTTAGTTGGTCTCTAAGGTGCTTCTGGACAATTTTCTTATATATTTCGACTGTGTCAGACCAACACGGCTACCTACCTGAATCTAATTCTCAAAACTGCTCAGGATGTTTATTCCAAATGGATTTTGAGAGTCCAACATGCAAGGCTCAGAGAACTCCTAGAAGCATGCTGAATGGGGGGGGGGACTATTATTATAGTAGTATTAGTATTACCCCACCTTTTCCCCTGACCAGGACTCAAGGTGACTTACAGCTAAAAATAAGAACAGAACAATTTCATTTTAAAAAACCCCAAGCCAGCCACGAAGAACCATTCAGGTGGCGAAACACAGTCTTATGCAAAATGAGTGCAGCAAGTCATCCCAGTTTGTTTTGTCCATTTGTTGTTTATTTAAAAGGCACAGTGACCTGAACAATTCTATCTTTGATTATTGATTCTAAGATACATGCATTGCACAGTGGTACTGTCCATTTCAATACACTGTTCAAATTAGGGCTCTGGTTTTACTTTGGTAAGCAGGTATATCATATCCCTGCTATGATATACACAAATGTATAAATACACTAAATATAAACAACTGTCTCTGTTATATAACAGGTCTTCAGGCCTCCAAGGTCCTGTGTCCAAATGTCCATGGCTGGTATCCTGTGTTGCTTGCGGAACTATAACCAGAAAGAAAAATAAAATAAAATAAATATATCTAGGGTGCATTTCAGGGATGGATACTTCCAGAAGCTAAAACAATAACTTTCACAATGGGAATAAATGCAGAGCTCTATGCAGGAAGAGGGAGTTCTTCTTCACCTATTACATAATTAACTTATGGAACCCACTGGCCACAAGATGTGACATCACTGGCATAGAGGGCTTCAATACAGTATGCGACAAATTCGTGCTAGCGAAATAGAGACAGGGATTAATGAATCCATCTCTTTCTGTGTCACTTTAGCATGTGGAATGAACCAGCCAGGCATACATAGGTAAAGGTAAAGGGAACCCTGGCCATTAGGTCCAGTCGCAGACGACTCTGGGGTTGCAGTGCTCATCTTGCTTTATTGGCCGAGGGAACCGGCGTACAGCTTCCAAGTGATGTGGTCAGCTTGACTAAGCCGCTTCTGGCGAACCAGAGCAGCGCACGGAAACACCGTTTACCTTCCCGCCGGAGCGGTACCTATTTATCTACTTGCATTTTGACATGCTTTTGAACTGCTAGGTGGGCAGGAGCTGGGACAGAGCAACGGGAGCTCACCCCGTCACGGGGATTCGAACCGCTGACCTTCTGATCAGCAAGTCCTACGCTCTGTGGTTTAACCCATAGCACCACCCGCGTCCCATAAGGCATACATGCTTAAATATAAAAGAATCTGCTTGCTGTATCTCTTCACAATCAAACCCAACAGACTGAAGTGTCAAGAACTGCTGAGACTTCTTTTGACCCATCAATAGTTTAAATGATCTTAGTACAGCTGGATCATTTCCAGATAAGAAATCCTCATACCTTCTGTGAACGTTTCACTACAAAATTCTCCTATGCAAGTTTCACTTGGGAGCAGAGATGGATAGATTTGTCCACTCCCTTTTCTTTCTGTTTCTAATTTTTCCAGCCTTAAGTGCCATGTTTTGCATGTTACTTTCACTGATATGTTCATTTTTAGATGCAGTTTCACAGATTTTTTTCCACACGTTATTGTTTGGAGAACTGCATTGCAAAATTTGGAGACGTGTGGATTTCAAAGGCTAGCTGCATTTCAGTTCAGTTCAGGGCAAACTGGGCTGTGTGTGGTGATTTGAAGCTCTGACTTTGGGACTTCAAAGCACCCAATCACATTATTATGGTGCCAGATGACTGACAGGTGGATAGCCTTGCCCAACCTGCAAAGCCAAAAAATGGTTTCCCACCCCTGATCTACAATATCACAACTGTTTCACCACTTCTGGAATTCTTTACATGATTTAGGGTTGGCACAGAGAGAAAGCAGGGATATTATGTCTTTAAACAGGCAGAAATTTGACACAATAGCCTTTTTCTAGTATGGAAATAATTCTAGAAAAAGCTTCACCTGGTGACATACTGTCTGTCCGATGTTTTATAACTTGGATGTGGCCACTGATTAGTTGGGGGTGGGGAAAGGCTGGATTTAGGTTTGATGAGGCCCTAAACTTGCTGATCAGAAGGTCAGTGGTTCGAATCCCCGCGATGGACTGAGCTCCCATCGCTCGGTCCCTGCTCCTGCCAACCTAGCAGTTCGAAAGCACAAAGCGCAAGTAGATAAATAGGTACCGCTCCAGCAGGAAGGTAAACGGCGTTTCCGTGTGCTCCTCTGGCTCACCAGAAGCAGCTTAGTCATGCTGGCCACATGACCTGGAAGCTGTACGCCGGCTCCCTCGGCCAATAAAGCAAGATGAGCGCCGCAACCCCAGAGTCGGTCCACGACTGGACCTAACAATCAGGGGTACCTTTACCTTTACCTTTAAGCTACTGAAGGTAATGGGGCCCTTTATATGTCCAGCTGTCCTTTGTGAACAACAAATTGCTGCTGTTTTTTATGTTGAATATATGCTATATGGTAATTTATGGACCTAATAGGCATCTAAAGCCATTTCACTTGTTTTTTATCTTATACAGTGGTGCCTCGCAAGACGAAATTAATCCGTTCCGCGAGTCTCTTCGTCTTGCGGTTTTTTCGTCTTGCGAAGCACGGCTATTAGCGGCTTAGCAGCTTTAAGAAAAAGGAAACAAACTCGCAAGAACTCGCAAGACGTTTCGTCTTGCGAAGCAAGCCCACAGAGAAATTCGTCTTGGGGAACGACTCAAAAAACGGAAAACCCTTTCGTCTAGCGAGTTTTTCGTCTTGCGAGGCATTCGTCTTGCGGGGCACCACTGTATTTTGGAAATGTACATCCAGTTTTTTCCCCTTTAATTTTTTTTGGGGGGCCCCAAGAGAGTGGAGCCCTAAGGTATAGCTTGTTTAGCTTATACAGTACGTAAATCCGGCATGGGTGGGGGGTGGGGGTAGCCCTTCACCCTGCTTGCAAAAGAGGACACAAATTTGCACAAGACGCAAAGAACACGAGAATTTTATGCAAGCATGGGCCCTCTTTTGTAAGTAGACCCGACAGCCAAATCCACACACTGTGGACTGGACCCCCACCTTCAATTACTGTTGGCAATGGCACCCCTGATACCACAGGGTCCAATTTAGAACATACCATAATAACTATCGCTGTACACTTTCAAGGTGCTGTGTTCACTGCTATTGGTGTTTGAGAGGGCATCCGGTGACAGAAACTGGTTACAGGCTTGACTGCTGAGCAGAAAGATGACACAGGGTTCCGATTCTTCCAGTTCAGTTTCTTCAAGAAAATATTGTAGTTGTCCATGTATTCTGATACCCAAGGGTTCCTATATTGGGGGGAGGGAGGAGAGAGAAAGAGAGAGGGAGAGTCATGGCAGAATAAAATGGAGAATTCGGTGTGTGTGTGTGTGTGTGTGTGTGTGTATCCTCTTAACTTTAGAAGCCATATGGCTAATGTTATGTACTGAGTTGAATAGGATCCAAAATGCAGCAGTCTGATTGGAACAATAGGATTCAGAATGCAGCATTCTGATTGGTCCTAGAACAATGCAGCAGTATGATTGGTCTGCAGGAGCCACCCAATCCAGCTCCAGATGGAAGTGAATCCACAACCTGATTGGCCTACAAGAGAATTCTGGAATTAGCCAATCACGTGCAGCCCATTGTGTAAATAATGTATATAAAGCAGATACTTTGAGTGGGGACATTCATTCCTCCTCACCACTATGAGCTGAATAAAGAGCATGAAATCCACTCTTGACTCTGAAATTTCAACTAAGTCAGATAACTTTGTAGCCTTCTGCTCAGTTGCACTGTTGCTCATGGGAATCCCATTGCATGAAGAAAATGGCTCCAGCACCAGTAACTTCTGGAAGTGGGCTATTTAATTTCTGCAGCCTTTTGGTGGAGCTTTAAGGCCAAATTGATGGACTAGTACAGACGGATTCTGGCAACACAGTGCTGAGAACACCTCTTTCAGAAATACAGTGTAAGCCATGGGTAGGCAACATAGCTGCCAACGTTTTCCTTTTTTTAAGGGAAATTCCCTTGGCCCGGGGGCCGGATACGGCCCAATCACCTTCTAAATCCGGCCCACGGACAGTCCAGGAATCAGTGTGATTTGACATGAGTAGAATGTGTCCTTTTATTTAAAATGCATCTCTGGGTTATTTGTGGGGCCTGCCTGGTGTTTTTACATGAGTAGAATGTATGTTTTTATTTAAAATGCATCGCTGGGTTATTTATGGTGCGTGCCTGGTGTTTTTACACGAGTAGAATGTGTGCTTTTATTTAAAATGCATCTCTGGGTTATTTGTGGGGCACAGGAATTCATTCATTTTTTTCTTTTTTCAAAATATAGTCCAACCCCCCACAAGGTCTGAGGGACAGTGGACCGGCCCCCTGCTGAAAAAGTTTGCTGACCCCTGGTGTAAGCCCTTGTGGGTACAATGATTTGAGTTTGGAAGAACAAACGCCCACCATTCATGATGCAGTGGTTTGAAGAATTTGCTGCATTTTAAAGGACAGCGGTACCTCAGTTCTCAAATGTAATCCATTCCGGAAGACCGTTTGACTTCCAAAATGTTCAAAAACTGAGGCCCAAAGGGCTGGCTGCAGGTTCTATTGAGAAAATTGAAAAACAGACAGTGGAAGCCATTTGACTTTTGAGGCACGTTTGAAAATGGAAGCATTTACTTCCAGGTTTTCGGCAAAACATTTGGCTTCCGAGACACTCGAAAACTGAGGTACCACTGTACATCTTGTAATTGTCCATCTCCTTTGGATATCCTTTTGGACACGCAAACTGCCAACAAAAGAGACCTTGCATTGAACGGATCCTGAGGCCCATAATGTAATGTATGAGTGTACATGTTACTGTTCTGTAGCTTCCCTTAGTCCCCACCACCACACCAATAAAGTATTTGCAAAGATTCTTACTCTGTGTAGTAGCCATCATCAAAGACAAGATTGGAGAAATTCCTATTTGCGCTACAAAACCCACTTCGGAGTCTGGGCCAGGGGACGTAATCTCTTTGGTAAGTACTTGGTTCGGTCCTGGGATAAACTTCTATGAAAAGAGAGAATATTCAGCCACCAAGTGGAGTTGGCACAGTTTGTATGTCTTCTGCTGTCATTAAGAGTATTATACATTATCTTGTATTTCTTTGGGAATATTGAGTTAACTGAACTGACCTGGCTGAAACACAGTAGATCCCACATGTGATTTCTTAATTTCACGAAGTTGCATTTGAGTAGCTCGCTGAGTTTCCAAGAGAAACTGTTGATAGTCGCTCCAATTCTGGCCCTGTTCTGGGCAGATGCAAGGAGACGGTACTTGATCTGGAGAAGGGGCAAATCCACATTTGTAAGACAGGCACTGCAAAATAAGTTGTTCTTCACTCATGCCCCAAAGGCAGATTATATTGCCTGTTAGTCACCAAAGAATCAGTCATACTCAGAGGAAAGGTTTAGCATCCCAGGAAGACTTCATTTCTATGGACTCAGCTACGTTAGTCAAAAAACAACGCTTTGAATGCATTATAAACATGCAGCACCAGATGGCGCCAGAGAGCAAATAATTTTTCTATGCAATTTCTACATGGGTTTTTTTTTTCTTTTGTTACAGCAATTTAATTTCTGGCTTATTTATAGTATTTTTCCCCTGTGTAGATCCACCCTATATCTTACTTACCCTACCCTTCTTGCAAAAAACATATTTAAACTATGGAATTTGCTACTACAACAATGACCTGTGCTAAGAGGCTATTGTAGGTTTTGCTGGGTGATGGGAAAACAATCACAGCTTTCTCTTTAAAAAAAATAAATGCTAGAAAAGAAAGGTTTGCTAACAGTGTTGGGTCCCTTAGTTGCAAAAGCTGAGTGGGTAAAGAATGGAAAGAATATCTGCCCTTTGGGTTGGATAATCAAAATACAATGGTACCTCTGGTTACGTACTTAATTTGTTCCAGAGGTCCATTCTTAACCTGAAACCGTTCTTAACCTGAGGTACCACTTTAGCTAATGGGGCCTCCCGCTGCCGCCGCGCCACTGCCACACGATTTCTGTTCTCATCCTGAGGCAAAGTTCTTAACCCAAGGTACTACTTCCGGGTTAGCGGAGTCTGTAACCCGAGGTACCACTGTATAAGATGTAGTTACGGCTACCAACTTGGACAGGTTGAAAACAGAATTACGGTAGACAAATTTATGGAGGCTATAAATGGCGAAATATATCGTGTTGGTTCCCCCCCCCCCACTTAACAATTAATTTTTTTTATTTTTATTTAAAAAGGTTTTCCTTAAAAATATGAAGTGGTATAGAAATGAAATGAATATTATAATGCATAATGATATAGCCTCCAGTATTACAGGCAGTCGCTGGAGATCATGAATGTGAGAATGCATGCTACAGTGCTCAGGTCATGCTTGCTGGCCACTGTGGGAACAGAATGCTGGTTTAGATGTGGCTTTAGCTGGATCTCACAGTGACCTCCTTAAGTTTTTAAGACTCACGCCGCAAAGAACTGCAGGGCTCTTTACCTGGCGGAATACATGCATCTCCCTGTTGGGCTAGTCTCTCTGCCTCCATCTTCTGTACTGCGCTTTGCTTGGGAAGAAGGTGGCAGACCTGTGGATCTTCTTGGACCTGCTGAAATGGTGGTGGAGCTGCTTGGCTTGTGGTCAGCCTCCGGCCCAGGTCCATAGGATAAGGTGGTCGAACTTCTTGGCAGCCAGCTGCTTCAACGTATTTCACGGGTTCAGGCTCAACAGGTGTATGGAACTCCTTGGCCTTCAGCTGGGCTTCCAGTTTCAGCATCTGCACAAACAATTCACACAAGCTGTGGATCTGGCTGGGAAGATTCATTAGAAACTTCCTGCAGACACAATGCTCAGTGTCCACCATTTCTCTGAAGAATATAGGCATGCCCTATCCGACTAGGTTGCCCCAGCCACTCTGAGTGGATTCCAACATACAGAAAAACATAACAAAACATTTAAAAGCTTCCCTGTACAGTGGTACCTCGGTTTATGAACTTAATCTGTTCCTGAAGTCCGTTCTTAAACCAAATCCATTCTTAAACCGAGGCGCGCTTTCCCTAATGAGGCCTCCCGCCACCGGTGCCCTTCCACCGTTCGGCTTCCGTTCATAGACCGAGGTAAAGTTCGCAAACCGGGACACTACTTCCAGTTTTGTGGAGTTCGTAAAGCGAATAGTTCGTAAACAGGACTGTTCGTAAACCGAGGTACAGGGCTGCCTTCAGATGTCTTCCAAAGGTTGTATAGTTACATATCTCCTTGGCCTGGGGGTCACATAACTCCATACCCTCCAACATTTCTCTGATGAAAATAGGGACGTCCTAAGGAGAAGTGGGACACGGGTGGCGCTGTGGGTTAAACCACAGAGCCTAGGACTTGCCGATCAGAAGGTCGGCGGCTCAAATCCCTGCGACGGGGTGAGCTCCCGTTGCTCGGTCCCTGCTCCTGCCAACCTAGCAGTTCGAAAGCATGTCAAAGTGCAAGTAGATAAATAGGTACCGCTCCAGTGGGAAGGTAAACGCCGTTTCCGTGTGCTGCTCTGGTTCACCAGAAGCGGCTTAGTCATGCTGGCCACATGACCCAGAAGCTGTACACCGGCTCCCTCGGCCAATAAAGCGAGATGAGCGCCGCAACCCCAGAGTCGGCCACGACTGGACCTAATGGTCAGGGGTCCCTTTACCTTTACCTTTAAGGAGAAGCGTGACATTCTGGGATCAGATCAGAAAACGGCTGAGAAGAACGTTGCCTACCTGTGAGGCATCCATTGTCGGCACCTGGTAGTGATAGTCATCATAGTGTATGTAGTCCTTAGTGTACAAAGTGTTGTACATATCCTTGTTCACAGGTGGCTGAGCATTGGGGGAGAAGGGGGGGGGAGAGAAAGGGATCATTCAAATTATTACGGTTTCCATTATTGCTCACTAAAGCAGCAGCAGAATGGAGAGGTTCTAAGTTCTTCCATGACACACAAATTTCCCCCCTTTCCCCCCTTTCCCCTTTGCAAAGAGAGAATAGGAAGGAAGGTTTGCAAGGAAGGCAAACCACCGGGGTAAAAGAAGCCTTTTTCCACATGCCTAGACTGGTGTGGGAGGAGCAGCCATGGAGAAAAAGAGCGACACTTGTAACAGTAGCAGCCATGTCAGTCCAAGTCTATAGGAAGGGAAAGCCACATATTCCAAACCACTCGATTTTCCCGATTATTTTAAGCCAGGTAAGCTTGTGCTAAAAATTCCTGAGACACAAGTGACGGATTTTGCATTTTCCCTATTTTCCGCTGTCTGCTTCTAAAGCAAGGGTGCCAAACTATTGGGGACCCTAGTGTAAACAAACAGCATAAGATAACTGAGCCATTCCCCCCTTAGTATTCACCTATCCCCCTGATATAGCATTGCATTACCCTACCTTCTATAATCAAAAGCAAGGGGTTGATGTACAGGAATGTGCAATGCAACAAGTGCACAAAAACAACAATTTTGGTGAAATCAGGAGGGTGTGTGTGTTATTTTTTGCACATGGGAAAAATTGTGACTGAGCTCCCCACATCTGCAGCACCATTGCAAATTGGGTAGAAACAACCCAGGAGATTGATTCCCTGTTTTATATATGCCTAGCAAGCGTTTTACCTTTAATCTCCCTAAAGTAGGTTTTGAAAATTTGGCTTGTTTTAGCATCACAGAATCATAGAGGGACCCCGAGAATCACACCCTGCAATGCAGCAATATGCACCTGTCCCACACAGAGATTGAACCTTCAATTTTGGCGCCAAGGTCTAAAAACACCAATTTATGTCTTACCTTGGAAAGGGCAATTCTTTGCATTATGTCCGTCATGTTGCACTGGTTCTCTGGAACAAAGAAAAATGGCAACGGAGCCATTAAAGGTATGTTCAAAATGTGCCTGGTGATGGTTTGCAGAACTTTGCAGGGCTGGTGTTGGAATGTGCGCTTTCTTTAGCCGCTGTCGGATTAGATGAGAGCTCTTGGCAGGGGTGTCATACCCATAGAGGCTAGTGGCGCGGGGCGCCAGGGCACCAAGTTCTGAAGGGCGCCAGGGAAGAGGCGGAGGCTGGACGTGACACTTCCTGGCATCAGCTCGCTGCCCTCGCCTGCCTCCGCCATGCCATGCCGAAGCAGCGCCACGCCCGGAGCCTGCATCTGCTGTGGCCACCGCAGCACAAAGTGCCCAGCTGAGTCGGGAGGCATCGCGTCCAGTCTTCACCTATTCCCCACCGGAGGAATCACCCTCCAGCTGCTGCCCATCTCCTCCAGCCCCGCCGGCAGCGCTGTCCTCCCTAAAAAACTCTGGGAAACAGGTGTGTGTGTGTGTGCCAGAGGGAGCTTTGTACCACAGCGCCGGATATGCTTAAGACGGCCCTGGCTCTTGGCCAAGTATAAGCTCTCATTTCTATAGAGCGGTGGGGAAAACTTCCCCCTTGCTGGTGAATTTCCCCTGATTAATAATAATAATAATAATAATAATAATAATAATAACAATAATAATTTATTATTTATACCCCGCCCATCTGGCTGAGTTTCCCCAGCCACTCTGGGCGGCTTCCAATCAAGTGTTAAAAACAATACAGCATTAAATATTAAAAACTTCCCTAAACAGGGCTGCCTTCAGATGTCTTTTAAAAAGAAGATAGTTGCTTATTTCCTTCACATCACATTCCACAGGGCGGGTGCCACTACCGAGAAGGCCCTCTGTCTGGTTCCCTGTAACCTCACTTCTCGCAATGAGGGAACCGCCAGAAGGCCCTCGGTGCTGGATCTCAGTGTCCGGGCTGAACGATGGAGGTGGAGACGCTCCTTCAGGTATACTGGACCGAGGCCGTTTAGGGCTTTAAAGGTCAGCACCAACACTTTGAATTGTGCTCGGAAACGTACTGGGAGCCAATGCAAATCTCTCAGATCTCTCTTCTGTCTGATCAACAGACAGAAGCCTTCTAGATGGGAAAATGTAATGGAAGAGGGAAGCCTTGCTCCAAGTTAAAACACACAGAGAAACAACCGCAGCGTCCCCATGGGCTCCGGGAAAATTTGCTCCTGAGGGCTGGAAGACCCTTGGGAATGGTGTATGGGAGAGATGGTGGAAATGGCCCCAGATTACCACAAATAGGAGAGCAATTGAGGCCGCCTTCGCAGTCCTGTTTCCTCTGTGCGCACAAGGTTTCCAATGACAGGTTTTTAATCTATGTTCACACAATGTGATCTGAAATGCATATGCACATACCCGGATATTATGAGCCCAGAGATGGAAAGAAGACACAGGCCCTACCAGAGAAGAATGGCAGGTCAAACTGATGGACTATGCAGAAATGGCAAAAATGACCGGAAGAGTCAGAAATTGGGAAGACCAAAATTTTAATAGGGAACGGGAGAAATATATAATTTATCTTGAAAATCATTGTAAGAAATTAAAATTATTAGTAGGACCAGAATGACACTTGTAGTTGAATGTTGGACTGTGGCTATAATGGAGATTTAATTGAATTGGATCAACAGAGAAGATGCAGGAGAAAAGAAAAGATAACATAAGGACCCACAAAGGGGAGGAGGAAAGTCCATGGGAATTTATGGAATTCTCTTTTTGTTTTGGTTCCTTGATGGTTGTTTGAAAATTTGAAAATTTGAAAATTTGAAAATTTGAAAATTTGAAAATTTGAAGATTAGAAAATTAGAAAATTTGAAAATTTGAAAATTAAATAAATTTATTTTTAAAAAGGGAGAAAACCCCAAAATGCATATGCATTATAAAAATGCTACTGTTCCCTAGGCAGGAAGAAGGGAGGAGTGGATCACAGCGCAAGGAGTCTTGATTTAAATAATAATAAATGTTGTGTGTGTCCATGTCTAATCTTGTGCCTTTTTAAAATTAATTTATTGGTATGTGTTTTCCTTTCTGTAAATCTATCAAAGAATAAAATAAAATCAGGATTAAGGGGTTTTTCTCAGGACGGTGGAGGGCTTGTGTGCTGTGCTGCATGGATGTCGTGGTGGCGGCACTCGCCCTGCTTCTGATAGGAAATACTCTGTGGGAGACAATGACCAAAAACGGGAGGTTGAGGAGGGTCACTTGGAGAGGAGTGTTAGTGGTAAGAGTAGTGTCTACTAAGGTAAAGGTATGGGACGCGGGTGGCGCTGTGGGTTAAACCACAGAACCTAGGACTTGTTGATCAGAAGGTTCAAATCCCTGCGACGGGGTGAGCTCCCGCTGCTCGGTCCCTGCTCCTGCCAACCTAGCAGTTTGAAAGCACATCAAAGTGCAAGTAGATAAATAGGTACCGCTCTGGGGGGGAAGGTAAACGGTGTTTCCATGTGCTGCTCTGGTTCTCCAGAAGCGGCTTAGTCATGCTGGCCACATGACCCGGAAGCTGTACGTCGGCTCCCTCGGCCAGTAAAGCCAGATGAGTGCCGCAACCCCAGAGTCGGACACGACTGGACCTAATGGTCAGGGGTCCCTTTACCTTTACCTTACTAAGGTAAAGGTAAAGATAAAGGCCCCCTGGATGGCTAAGTCCAATCAAAGGCGACTATGGAGTTGCAGCGTTCATCTCACTTTCAGCATGACTAAACTGCTTCTGGCACAATGGAACAACTTATGGAAACCAGAGCGCACAGAAACGCCGTTTACCTTCCTGCCGCAGTGGTACCTATCTATCTACTTGCACTGGCGTGCTTTTGAACTGCTAGGTTGACAGGAGCTGCGTCGGAGCAACGGGAGCTCATTCTGTCGTGGGGATTCGAACCGCCAACCTTCTAGGCTCTGTGGTTTAGACCACAGTGCCACCCGTGTCCCTTCTTGGTGTCTACTACCCTCAACTGAAAAGCCCTTTCAGAATTCCTCCTGGGCCAAACACTTGCACGCCTTCTGTGGCCATGTGAGCTTTGGCACCACAAAGAAGTTGACTATGGTACAGCGTATGGCGATGGAGAGTCAACACCAATGACTTCACACTATAGCTAAGAGGGCTTTGGGGACACTTCAGCACCTTGTTGTTAGCCGGCTCTCACACCTAAGGAAGCGAAAGAGCCGTTACCTCTGAGCTGGGGTCTTGACTGCTGCTGTTCTGGCATTGTGGTGGTATTGCTTGACCGGGCTTTGCTAGGCCAAGAGGATAAGGCTGGGCTCTTTCTGAAGAGGCAGAAGAATGTTCGCCCTTTATGAGGTATTGGAGCTCTTAGCACGTTCCAGAGCAATCTGATGCCACGGAAACAAAATGGCCCTGCCTCTTTCCTCCTCCATGGTTCCTCAGGCCAGAAGAGACACCACCCAATGACAAAAGTCAAAAATTCTCCTCCTGATGGTATTTGAAGGAATAGGCGAGGCTTAGTTTTGAGACAGTTCGGATTTAAACATGTGTTTGATATGTTACAAATGGTATGCTACAAAATACAGATGAAACTTGGAAAATTAGAATATCGTGGAAAAGTTCATTTATTTCAGTAATTCAACTTAAAAGGTGAAACTAATATATGAGATAGACTCATGACATGCAAAGCGAGATATGTCAAGCCTACCCCAAATTAACAATCTCAGAAAATTAGAATATTAAATGAAATCAGCAAAACAAGGACTGCAAATAGAGCAATATTGGACCTCTGAGAAGTAGAAGCATGCATATGTACTCAGTCCTTGGTTTGGGCCCCTTTTGCATCAATTACTGCCTCAATGCAGCGTGGCATGGATGCTATCAGCCTGTGGCACTGCTCAGGTGTTATGGAAGACCAGGATGCTTCAATAGCAGACTTCAGTTCTTCTGTATTGCTTGGTCTCATGTCTCTCATCTGTCTCTTGGCAATGCCCCATAGATTCTCAATGGGGTTCAGGTCAGGCGAGTTTGCTGGCCAATCAAGCACAGTAATCCCATGGGCATTGAACCAGGTTTTGGTACTTTTGGCAGTGTGGGCAGGTGCCAAAGTCCTGCTGGAAAATGAACTCAGCATCCCCATAAAGCTCTGCGGAAGGAAGCATGAAGTGCTCCAAAATCTCCTGGGAGACGGCTGTGTTGACCCTGGACTCAATGAAGCACAGTGGACCAACACCAGCTGATGACATGGCTCCCCAAATCAACACAGACTGTGGAAACTTCACACTGGCATTGTGTGCCTCCCCATTCTTCCTCCAGACTCTGGGTCCTTGGTTTCCAAATGAGATGCAAAAGCTGCTCTCATCAGAAAAGAGATTTGGGGAGCCATGTCATCGGCTGGTGTTGGTCCACTGTGCTTCATTAAGTCCAGGGTCAATGAACTTTTCCACGATATTCTAATTTTCCGAGTTTCACCTGTACTTTTGGCATAGCCGAGGGCAGGGCCGGACCAAGACATTTTGGCACCTGAGGCAAACCACAAAAATGGCGCCCCACCCTCCACCTGGGAAGAAGGGGTGAGTGAAGATCTCTGAGGGAAAAAGGAGACCAGCAGTGCTTCCTCTTTCGCAAGAGGTCGCTGTAGAGGCAGCACTGGGGATGGCTGCCATGCCTTCCTTGGAGATCAGATCTGCTGCCCCTGTGGATCTTACCACCTGAGGTGATCGCTTCACCTTGCCTCATGGGTGGGCCGGCCTTGGTTGAGGGCTTGCTATGCCTAATAAAAAATTTGGGCTTTCCCCCTTTGATTTTGATTTTTTAATTTTTTTTTACTGCTTGGAACCCCTAAACAGTTCAAGCTTGTAAAAGAAATAATCCCTTTACGGCTTTATCAGAAGCTCACGTTGGGTGGCATTCAGCTAAGTAAACCCATTGTGAGTAAACCCATTAAAATTAGGAACCAGGTGCATTAATTTAAATGGGTCTCCTCTGAGTAATATTTTGTTCTGACTAATGCCTGGAGTGTATTAACTTTATCCTATACAATATATCCCATACAGTGGTGGCCTCAGGTTACATACGCTTCAGGTTACAGACGCTTCAGGTTACACACTCCGCTAACCCAGAAATAGTGCTGTCAGGTTAAGAACTTTGCTTCAGGATAAGAACAGAAATCGTGCTCTGGCAGCGCGGCAGCAGCAGCAGGCCCCGTTAGCTAAAAGTGGTGCTCAGGTTAAGAACAGTTTTCAGGTTAAGAACGGACCTCCGGAACGAATTAAAGTACTTAACCCGAGGTACCACTGTACTTTTCAATCTTTAATTTGTGGAAACTCCATGGTGTTTACTGGGAAGTAAATTTCACTGGTGCTGGCAGAACTTCCTCCCAAGTGAAAATTTAGCACTGCGGAACTTTAAGGAATGACATTTTGCAGTGTTCTTTACTTAATATTACTGTTCCAACAACAAAGTAGTGTTTTTCTGAAATCTGGGATCCTACCGGTTTTCCTAGGATTGCCCAAAGCAACAGGAGGAAAGATCTCAGCTTGCATTAAAGGGATACAATCTACTTCCTTCCGCAATCTGGCTAAGGCCCCGATGGGAAACCCCCCAGGCCTGGGATTTAAGCGTTCGCTCAATTAATTAGGAACCAACCCCTGCCGTAAACCAAAAAACACCCTATAAGGAAGCAGGTTTTCTTCCTCTTGACCCCAAGAGTACTACTTAAATTCCCACGTCAACAACACGGAATTTTCCTCCTTTCTTTGCAGAATTCCTTGAATTACCAGTTGTTAAAATGGAAGCTGTGATAGGTGTTAGGGACTCCAACTGAAAACTCCTTCAGGCAACCACAGCTAGATGTTTGGTAGAGGAGCTGCAGGAAGGAGGCCATATAAGGTGCCATCAAACCATCTTAGGGACTCCACTCCCGATTTGTGTAGGAGTTATTCCTTAGCCTTTTCTTCTGCTGAAGATGTTCCACAAGGCAGCAGAGGTTGGGGAGAAGCGTTTTCCTTCTCCTAGCATGAGTTACCTTCAAATTGACCAGTCCCATCTTGCCCCTCACTTCCCTCTACAGCACATGCAGAAACCAATATATACAAAACATACACATTTCAGATAACATTTCATTCAAAGTGACTTTAAAAAAAATATTTAAGAATATCGACATAACAATTTATCAAAACATATCATCCTCATCCCCCCCTATTTTCCCCTCCCCCCTCCCCAAACTGGAACCCACCCCTAGACTTTCCCTCAGCTCCTCTCTCTGGTTTCTCAGCACATGTTATCTCTGCATATTTATAACATTGTAAAGATTCCTTAATTTATCTATCTATATCTTACCAATAAGAGGGACACGGGTGGTGCTTTGGGTTAAACCACAGAGCCTAGGACTTGCCAGATCAGAAGGTCGGGCGGTTCGAATCCCCACGATGGGGTGAGCTTCCGTTGCTCGGTCCCTGCTCCTGCCAACCTAGCAGTTCGAAAGCACGTCAAAGTGCAAGTAGATAAATAGGTACCGCTCCGGCAGGAAGGTAAACGGCGTTTCCATGCGCTGCTCTGGTTCACCAGAAGCGGCTTAGTCATGCTGGCCACATGACCCGGAAGCTGTACGCCGGCTCCCTCGGCCAATAAAGCGAGATGAGCACCACAACCCCAGAGTTGGTCATGACTGGACCTAATGGTCAGGGGTCCCTTTACCTTATGTTACCAATAATAAGTTTGTGTATGTTTATTCAAAACCTGCCAAGGAGTCCAATTCAGTTTGTTGTTTCTTCAAGTATTTTGTAGAAGGTTCCCATTCTTCTTTAAAGTCACAGTTGTCCTTATCACGCAGTTTGTGTGTCAATTCCGCCAATTCCGCAGAGTCCATTAGTTTCTCTTGCCACAGTTCTTTGGTCGGGATTTCTTCGTTCTTCCATCCTTGTGCAATTAAGACTCTTGCTGCCGTTGTCGCCTACATGAAAATGTTCAATTTCCTTGGCAGGTGTCATTCAAATTGGCTTAAGTTACCCATTTCTGTGTGGAGCTGAACATCATCAGACAACAAAGTTGGGGTCGTACAGCCCACTAGATACAACCAATACATAAATACAAAGTATGAAAGCCGTTGTTGTTTCGTCATCGTTATTATTTTAATATACGTTACCCGCCCTTCATGTTAAGGTCCTAGTGTGGGTTACAACCATCTAAGGTAAAGGTAAAGGTACCCCTGCCCGTACGGGCCAGTCTTGCCAGACTCTAGGGTTGTGCGCTCATCTCACTCTGTAGGCCGGGAGCCAGCGCTGTCCGCAGACACTTCCGGGTCACGTGGCCAGCGTGACAAGCTGCATCTGGCGAGCCAGAGCTGCACACGGAAATGCCGTTTACCTTCCCGCTGGTAAGCGGTCCCTATTTATCTACTTGCACCCGGGGGCGCTTTCGAACTGCTAGGTTGGCAGGCGCTGGGACCAAACGATGGGAGCGCACCCCGCTGCGGGGATTCGAACTGCTGACCTTTCGATCGGCAAGTCCTAGGCACTGAGGCTTTAACCCACAGCATTAACCCACAACCATCTAGAATACATCAATAATGCAGTTTCCAAAGCTTACAATAGAAGCGAAAACGCAACCACAGAATTAGGGTTGGTCCACAAAAATGTTCATCGCAGTTGTCATTGGTGAGGGTGAAGAGGTATATCATCATCTGCTAAAAACTGTACAGTGGTACCTCGGGTTACAGATGCTTCAGGTTACAGACGCTTCAGGTTACAGACTCCACTAACCCAGAAATAGTACCTTGGGTTAAGAACTTTGCTTCAGGATGAGAACAGAAATTGTGCTCTGGTGGAGCAGCAGCAGCGGGAGGCCCCATTAGCTAAAGTGGTACCTCAGGTTAAGAACAGTTTCAGGTTAAGAACGGACCTCCAGAACGAATAAAGTTCTTAACCCGAGGTACCATTGTATAATGAAGATGAATGAACCTCTTCGGAGAGGGACTTCCACAGCTTAGGAACTGTCACAGAGAATGCTTTCTCTTGGGGCTTCTGAGGGTGGCAGAATTCACAAGAGGGTCCCTTTTGCCCATCTTAACACCTGACAGGGACTGTTGGCGGAGGCAGTTTTCAGACTGCTGCCTTCAGATGGCCCATATCTGATGATGAAGAGGTAAGGCAATAGCTCAAAGTTGAGTTAGAAGAACCAAAACCTGTTTATTCTTCACCCTTTGCATTTATCGAGTATTAGAACAATGGAAAGCACAGAGAGGTTTGCTCTGCAAACTGGGTAGAATCCTGCCTGCTTATTTTCCCTTATCTCTGTGAGCAAAAGGGCT